CATAAATTAGTTTAATGATTGCTTTAACTATTAGCAAACGAACCGTTATTTGATTACAACCACTTATTCTTGTTCCTCATTATTCCTCATTTGATCCGGCATTAATTAAAAATGTTTACTTCGAAATCGTAGTTTAAGAGCAAACGGGAAAAAAGTTTTGCCTTAAAAAACCAATAAAAGTTTCGACAGTGCACAATTATTTTTCAAAACTTTTCAATTTTAAAAATGTGTTTATATTCTTGACGTATATACTATATGACTACTCATCATGATTCACGCCACTATAAGCGCCCTTGCGACGCACATTCTATTGTTGGTGAAGCATCCGGGTGCACTGTATTGGATGAAGTTGAATAAAAATAAAGTAAAATGGTGAAGATCACGATGAAATTCAAAATATCGAATGGTAATTATAATTGTTCAAGAATTTTAAGTATTTAATATAACAAAATAATTTTGCGACAAAGACAAAATCGATGAACGCTTATTTCTCTGCATAAAAAATGACTGCTGCCAAGGACAGTTTTGAAGTGATTGTTCGACAAGAACTTGCTTGTGAATTCAGCAAGAATAATTATCACTGAAATTTACTGATAACAATGGCAAACGCCACGTCTCTTGGAAGTTGACACTTTTTTGTGATTTATTCGGCGAACTGATGTAACTAACTATAAAAGTACAGACTTTCGTGTGCTTGAATCTTAAGATGAACCGTTTCTTGTGACTGAACTTTTGCCAGAAGTTTTTCCCACTAAAACTATTTCCTCTGCTGCATTTTGCCATGCTTTTTCTCTTTCTCAGCTTGAATGCAATTTTCTTTTTATTGCCAACGATTCAAGTTAACTTTAGGCTTTAGAAAATTGCAACACTGCTCTAGTACTTTTACTTTCAATTTTAAAGTTGTTTACAAAGTTTTTCCTAGCCCTATGGCATTGAACTTTGCTTTCATGTAGTGAGAATTCAATATAAATCACAATCTGAAATATGAGCGTACAAATGAAAGAGAAACAAAAAAACAAAAACACACCAGAAAGTCCTTTAAAAAGTTACCAGCGACAAAATATTGAGGCAAGAGATAGAGAACTAGATTTCATCTGTTCGATAAGGCCTGGCGGATATTTTGCCGGCAAGTATTTTATGCGGAAGTTTAGATTGAAATTGATTTATTTATTTGTTATAAGTACAGATAAATTCAAATGAGGGTCTTAAGCTATACTGAAGTTATAAATCAAAGAATACCAAAAAGTCCATATCGGTCCATATTGATGAAAACGAGGAGTTGTTTCGACTATATTTGCGAAAGGAGAAGAAAGAAATTAGAAAAAAGACATAGACTACTATGTCACATAGTAAAGATGTAGCAGAAGAATAGCCAACAACAATGGCGAACGACTGAAATGACAAAAGAAGAAATAAGCTAGAGTCAAAGACATGAACTTTTCTATATGCGGTTTCGGTTTCACATAGTTGTTTCCAAGCGATATTTTCGCTTCATTCTGGTAGATTAGATACGAATACGTTTGGCAAACAATAGCCACAATTTCTTCTCGGAGAATATACAACGGAACAAAAAAAGAAGTCATTTGCCAAGCTTTTAACGCACTTTAAGGCTAACGATATCAAATAAACTCTTTTTTTGTTAGAGTGTACAAGTATGTGTATGTTGGACCCTTTTTAGGGTGTTTCGTGACATGCTTTTATTTTTGAATGCGTAGAATCAATGGGCTACAGGCAAATGTGATGTTGATATATGACATTGGATTTTTGTTTCCCAAGCCAAACTCAAACAACTCGCTGTTATTTGCCATCATTCATTCGAATCGTTTCAATCATCACTCTGCAAGCGAACTTATCAATAACTTCAGCAGCTGATCAAATCATTCGAGAAATAAGAATTGGAGCCACCAAATCGATTCGATTCATTCGACGAATTAAAATTGTTACATTGTTTTTGTAAGAGCGCTTATCATGGATGTAAAAAAACCACTTTAGAGATGTTCTGACAAGTCATTGAAAATTAGTCCTTCAAAAGTTAAATTGGTCCATCAAACTCGATTTGAGCTACTCGAACACAAATAAAAATATTCCACAACTTGCCAAAATTGAATCAATTTGCATTTCAATTTTTTTTCTGAACTAAATTATGCGCTAGATCAAAAATAACAAACGAAACTGTTCCATTTTCGCTTATCTGAAGAAGTTTACCAAACAAAAAAAAGTTTTATTGGTTTCGAGCGAATGCCACTGGAAATTGATCTCATTCAATTTAGTCTCTTCAGCCCATCTTCTACCCAGGTGAACGAATTCTATTGTACTGGCAAAGAATAGAAGATTAATGCCGTTATTAAGTCGAGTCGCCCACACATCCGGAAAATCAACCACTTCCATTGAGTTGAGAGTTAAGAGTATCCATTCGAAGAAAAAATTCACAATCAGATAGAAACAGATCAGAACAGAATCAGATAGAAAACAGAAAAAATGAATAAAAAAGAACAACAAAAAATAGAAGAGATTGAGAGAGGGAGAGAGAGGTCGGAGTCAAGAAGAAAAATCGAAAAAGTTTTATCAATAAAAGGAAGAATAAGCAAATATGGTGAGACAGTCGTCATCCCTATTCATGTTGCTAAACCATCCAGTTCAATCTTATTCCCTCTAACTTTTTATGCTGTACTTTCTGCGTGACTGCTACGGAGATAACAATGCAAAAAGGAAATGGCAAAGAGAAACGAAGAAATAAACAATTCTCAAAGTATTACATTTGTGATTGCAGAGAAAAAAAATACGATTACTATCGATTGCCATCATTGTACATTCATTCGTATTGCTCACAATATTTTGCCCGCATAAACAAGCATCACTTCCGCCTTGTCGCAGCACGATGGCGTCGTCCGCATACAATTCAGATGCAATACCATATGATCGAACATAATCGGGTTGGCATCAATTTATCTTTACACAAAATGTACTTCTACGAAATTGGATGAAAGTGCTTGCCTGTCGAGGTAATTCAAAACAATCAAACAAATGCATGCCATAATTTCAATGTAAATAACGGCAGCGCTGAAGCGGCGGTAGTATAAACATTATGCTTCGCCAATTCACATGAAACGTTGAACATTCAACGGCATTGCTCATTTCTATTTTATTTCTGATTATAAAATGGTAAATAAATATTTTCCAGTTGGAGCTCAAGTGGACCGAGTGCCTTAGATACACACGAAAAAGTGCCATTCTTTTCGATATATTTTCATCTATTTGTGTTTGAATGTTACAGACATAAGCACCTTGAATAGCCAAATAAAAGAAAAGTTATGAATAAAAACTGTATAAATAAATGTTCGAGGCCAGTGAAAAAATGCGAGTGAAGGGAGAAAATGTGGAGTATATCAGGTATATGAAGATTACAATGGGGAACCACGACGCCTTTCGGGATGATCGTTATTGAGAAAAAAAGTTTCTTTTTTATGGCATCAAGTTCAAGGCAAAACATTGTAAAACCGTTTTAATGGACAGAAAATCCGTGAACGGTGCTGATAAGATTTCAGATTGAAAAGAAATGAAGAAAACGGAAAGTGCCTTGGGATGTGCAATGTGGAAATATTATTACTCCAGAAATTGGTTCTAGTACGTGTGTCTAATGAGCGTTAAACTAGAACAAATATCATATCTTTATGTATATCAGCATTTTAAGCTGAAGCGAAGCGGCAACTTATCTTGTGATACAGCTTATCTACTAAGAGTTTCGCTTGACGCTTCGTCTCTTTTTTGGCAGAAATAATCAAAGTCTCATGGGAATAACATAAAAAAGTCGTCATTAAATAAACTCAAAGTATTTTCACTTCAATCATGTTTATCTGCTTAACGGTGCACAATCAATCCAACTGATTGCTTACTTCCACTTCCCTACCACATACCATGAACGTTGATTTAATGCATTTTGTAATGGAGTTTGATGAAATAGCAATGTTAATTTTCTTATTTTCTTCATGAAATAGGCAAAAATGGCCAAATTTGTATGGGAGGTACCCGTAAATCGCTTTCGATTGGCTCCAAAATTTCAGGGATTGAGTTTTTTGATGGAAAAATAAGATCCAGAAAGTTTTATGAGGTTTGAAATATCACAAATGAGATTTCTATTGGGATTTTACTTTTATGGTTTTATAAAAAAAACTCAATTACCTATCTAGATCTTGTGTTGACCTGTAATCCCCATAAACAAGCCACAGACATCGCGTTTAGTGCTTGATTTGAGGCCGTTTAAATGTTTTGGATGTCAAAAAACGCGATTTCCCAAAACAATTCACCATAATGTGAAATTTAAATATAGAGGGTGTCCGCAAACTATTATATTCTTGCCTATTTGAACCCAAAAATGGTAAAAAGTGCTTGTTTTTACTACTGATTTAGACTTTTTGGACCATTTCCCACAACTTTTGCTTTATTTGACCCACGGTTTAATGTGAAAAATTCTTAAATCACGCATTTGAAAGTTAAATTTTGAAAATGTACGAAAAATGGTATTTTTGCATATTTGGATTCATAAACGTACAAAGTGGTTAGGTTTTTTTGCTGATTCAGAATTTTTCGGCCATTTCCAACAATTTTTGATTTATTTGCAACATGGTTTGGCGGGAAAAATTCTTAAATCACGCATTTGAAAGTTAAATTTTGAGGATTTAACCAAATTCGGGAAAATCATGATTTCAAGGCCCCATACCGCTTATAGGGTGTACTCATAAGGCCAGATTTTCTTGTTTTCGACCAAATTTTAAGTTCCAATTAGTCAGCTTTCATTTTTTAGCCGTTTTCGCAAAGTTGAAATTTTAAATTTTAAATGCAGACCACTTACAACGGGCATTAACTTGCATCAAAATCTATAATAATTTTGGATTTTACACATCTTAATTAGGTCGATAGTTATAATAGAATTTCCTTTCAGAAATCTCGAGCAAATTAAAGTTTTAACATTACTCTTGAATTTTTCATTTTTTTTTTTGCAGGTGAACGGTAGAGATGTCAGTAATTTGGCACATGAAGATGCAGTAAGTGAATTCCTGAGAGCAGATGAGCCAATTTTAGTTTTAGTTAAACGACGTGATGCGCAATCAACATCGAATTCGAATGTAATTGGCAGTGGTATAAAGTCGGCGACACCGACAAATGAAATGTCAGCAGCGACCAAATTATCAAGTGGAAAATCAATTCTATTCGGCGCACCGCAATTAGATGAGGAGCAAAAATCAAACGAAACCACGTCAGTCGCAATACAAACGGAGCTGATGTTGTGTGACTTTGATAATGAATATATTTGTCAACGTAACGAATCCCCAATGAGAGTGGTCCCCACCAATAATTTGAATGATATTGAAATAAATCACAGCGGTCAACGCAATGGCAATAATAATAATAATAATAACAACAACAACGGGCTACATCATTCACTGCACCATTGTGCCACATTGCTGAACGATTGTATTGTACCACCTGAAATAGATATCGAGGTGAGTGTTTTGATTTATAGATAATCCTAGGACATAATAATTGCCGAGTAATTTAACATCCTGTTCGGCTTCCCGTGTCTAATCCAATCAACATTCAGAAGAGAACATATATATTTCATATTAATTTTGACTAATGCAACTGGCGTTACCATTTAATGTACAATCAGTGCCCATTTAATGGGAATCTTCTGTCAACTTAAATCAAGTAATAATAATTTCTGCTTACAAGCGAAAAGGAGTGGGGTTTTAGAAAAACGTTTGCGTATATCGTGTTTGAAATCATTAAATGCAACACCAACAAACAACATACATAAATAATTTTGACAGAGCACAAAGCACACGATTTACTGAATTAAATTGTTTGAGGCGGCAGACGAACAGCGAACATCTAAAACACGGAATATGATCAGAGCCGTTTTGAGAAAAGCGCCACAGCGTAAAATAGATTTAATACGATTAATGAGATTATGTAAACATGAAATGTTAAGCGATGCTGTCATCTGTGTGTACTGCCGCCACACACATGCCCGACTGAAGCACATTCAAATCAAATCTCCGGGAGCGGAAAACTTTTTTCTCCGTGCTGAGTGTGTGTGCGTAAGTGTAGCACAGAGCACACTTCATGAGCGATATATAAAACTCACATACGTATTAAATAATGTAACTTTGTCATAATCGCTTACATGCTTTGCATGAGTGCCTTTTTGCATCAGTGGCCGTGTGAACTTGAACATACAGAAATTCCTAAATGGATGCAAACACGCTAAGCACGAAATCGGGAAGTTTTCGAAACATTTTCAAATGACACCAAATATACAATACACGCACCGATTTTGAATCATAAACAAATCATGATGTACCATGAACCCCAAGAGAAACTGATATTTCATCATTAAACAATGACTTGGATTGTAGAGTATGGACACGATGAGGTCCAGAAAACGGAAAATTTTCATGTATATGTTGAAAAATAACTTTTATTATTCATTCAATGTGATCATTGATTCATTTAATCCATGCGGAACAGACGCCAAAAAATATGATTCACACTTCACATGCGTTATGTGCTATCGAAAAAAGAGTTCTCGAGTGAATTAACCCTCTTCAAAGCCGTCTGGTTTATACTTGAACAGGAAAAAATGCGGAAAATTTTGACACTTGCATGGGATTATTATATTATTCACTCGATACCGTCATCGAACACAATTTCTGCATATTATTTGTATGAAGTGTCATTCTTTTCTCTTTCAATGGATAAAATTAAATGAAACAAAAACATTGAATTTTGCCAGTGAGTGAAAATGGCAAAGCCAAAATACGAAGGCACAAATCCACACGCGAGCGAATCTCTTTCATGGGATCAGTAGAAAGCGATGTTAGAGAACATAAAGGGCACCAACACAGACATATCGACACTCAAATAAATACTTCTTGTTACAGCCTAGACATATTTTGCATGCAAAATATTTTTTTCGATGTACGCGCCAACAGATTTTGTATCACCCACATCTAATTTGCCTTCTTCACTCCTTTACACATTTGAATTTACCTATTGAATCGACACATACAGGAAATTTAAATCTCATAAATACATAGGTAGATGCGCTCGGCTATAACAGTATTCGTTACGGTGAATGTGGCCAATAAATCAAGGATTTTAGGATTGACATTTGCATTCAAATACTGTATATATATAAAAACATTTCGTGAAATGATTGTTTTAGGTTAGTCAACAGTAGCAAGAAATGAATGAACGTATTCATATGTGCACCAAAGCCCATGTTTTATTTATTCAACCTAAGTGCTGATTGCTTCGTCGTGTGCACTCTGTCGAATTGCCGTTATGCCAATTTAAATCTTTAGCATTATTACTGCGAAATCCGCGAAAGTAGTCTTTGAAAGTAAGTTGCTTAACGACAGAAGATGTTGGTATACATCAAATGTAGCGCAATAATCCGATGAACGTTGATACATTGATCAGATTTGACAGCATCAAGCAAACTCATTCAACTCAGAAATTTTCACCGCGACATTGATTATTTTGACGAAATTATCCAATTTTTCACTTGACGAAACAATCTCTTCGTCTCTTTCTTCCGTAAATGGATGATTCCAACTTTTATTATTATCAAGTGGTGAATATTTGAAGGAAAATACTGAAAAATAGATGACAAATAATGATTATTTCAATGAGATACTTTTAAAAATGGCAATTGAATCGAAGCAATAAACCCATTTTGGGAAATATTTCATTCGGAATTCATCACTAATTTCGTAATTAGTAAGGCACACGTTATAATAATGCGAATAAAACATTCTTCATTCAATTATTATAATTGTCAGTATTTTTAAATAATTTTTCTGTTGCTGCTGTTACTGCTTGAAGTTACGCTTTTTATTTTTGAAAAAAAAAGAAGAAAAATCAGACATATACCTACATCCGTCACAATAGTATTTCAGATGGAAAAATAGCTTGACACACGTAATTCTCTACCGTTGAGCAGTGTTTAATTAAAACTTATCCTGCAGATTTAATGCACAACTTTTTTGAGCACGAACGATTTTCGAAAGTTGGATGATCTGCATTTGTTTTTGGGAGGAGCATAGAACAAATTACTAAGTGACACTAATTATATTCGGCTCATACGTATATTTTGCACTCATTTTGACATTTTTTTAAGAGGAAGAACGGAGATGTATCAATTTGAACAAAATGTGTACATTTGCACGTGCACTGCTAGGTGCGTACACAGTGCATACAAAATAACAAGTCCACTTGCTTTGCTCGCAGCATTCAAATATAGTCGAGTACTGTCTAAGTGTCATCTTAGGATGTGAATTTTTTCGCTAAAAAAAATGAAAACTGTGATAAATGTTACAAGCACTAAATTGTGTTTACATTCTTCAACGTCCAAAAGGCGAAAGTCGTATTATTTGAGTTTCGTTCCGACAACGATCGATACAGCACAACACATCTTCAGTCATGCAGAAAGGCGATTACCATTCTCAAAGTGTAGTAACATTCTTTTTCCTGTATACTTATTGAACGAAAAGTCAAAGTAGAAAATACTTGAAAGTTTGCAAGAATCAAATTGGAATTGCTATTTCCGTTTTTTGTTTGATTATTCTTTAACATTACATTCGTACTAAGTTACTACGGATCAGAAATCGTTTTCCGTTTTGAATTATAATTTACATTCTTCTTTTGCAACTGCATAAAGTCACTGCTGCTTAATAAAAATGTAATAAAAATTAGCATTCAACGCGCAGCAATGAAAAAAAAATGGTAAAAAGAATTAGGAAAATAAAATGCTAAGCTAAACGTTCATTGAACGCAGTCTTTGTTAATATTTCAGAAAGGATGTGAAACACAGTGAAACTTTATACATATCTCATTTGGCTCGTATTACGTTACTCATTTATGTTGAGCATTTTCTTTTGGGGCTCTTTGCTTTTGTCTTCCTTTGGCAATTGCTTTATAACGCTGTACGTGTATGAATTTGAAATTTAGCTTGCAAATTGTCCAGTTTTTATATATGTGTGTACGCTGTTCCCAATTCCTCACCTAAAATATCATTTTAACCGCAATTTCACACCAATGGAAAGCCGTATATCATTTCACACAATCCAAGCGACGTCAAATGGTGATAGAAGGAGGTAAATTTGCGAGAGCAATTGTTTTTTTAAGTCTTCAACTACATTTATTTAGTCTGGATTCTCTTCGCACACACCTTTGTTATATGGTGTACCTTGTTTGGCTTCTACCACTGTCTTTTGGCTAGATTAAGCACCATAATGGCAGCAGAAATTTTCTACTTGCCATCTATATAAATATGAGCCCTTATGAATATTTACGTCATTTCAGTAGCAATAACATGAAAGGATTTGAAGAATGCCAAATGCCGAAAGCACTAAAATGTTTCACGTAGAAAACATATTGCATTTGAGATTGGAGCCCTTGTTAAAATGTATGCGTGAAATTGCCACCAATTCCATTCGCCACTTTGAACAACATCTAACACCTTTAGGGTGCAAAAACGAAATCCAATGCGAAAAGCAAATAAGAACTGTTTTCGCTCGGCTAAACACAAAGTCAGCATGGCAAAGTGGGAAACACTTATTCGATTTTCATATAAACGCGCACGTAAATAGACCATTTAGATGAGAATTCATACCATTTTACGTGCGTTTCGCCTCGGCTTGCTGGCAAAAGTTATATATATATATTATATATGTATATGCATCCCCATGTATAAGAATTTATTTAACTAGAAAAAAGGTTTTGACACTCATGGTCGTCGCACCGACAAAATACGACCGGCTCAAATCCACAGTAAGATTTGCGTTTATGTCGGTTTACCATATGACCATATATAATGATCGCCATATACATGATTCCCTCGTAAAATCTCAGCTCAGTGAAAATTATTGCATTAATATGCTGAAATTGAGTGCTTTACCCTTGCGGACCTACCACATTCTCATGGAGTTGGTTTGTGAAAAGAAGTTGTCTCGTGGAATCTCTCTCGACAATTCTAATGGAAGATTCCATTAAAAAGAAACCACACGCAAGTAATTAAATATTTTAAGAACAATTTTTTGCTACGTGACGTTTTCAAATTGAAGAAAAGTTTTGGGAAACTAAATACGACTTGAGACTCTCTGTGTTATATATCTCTACGAAATCGATTTAATTGATCAGAAATGACATTTTTCTGTACCTTTATTCCTTTCCAATACATCTTTTCTCCTATAATTTCATGAATTCCGACTTAATTTACTCCCTTTTAGACATTGAAGCTTTTATTTGTCCATTATGTAAACAAGAACACGCTAATTTAACTGACAGTAATCGAGTGATTGCACGACAGTTTCAATCACTCATAAATATTGTCAATATGCACTTATTCTATAAAACGCCATCGTTTATTTTCACTTTTGTTCTGTTTTGTTTCGTATGAATTGTATTTTCAGTACATATTTATTGCGAGGTAGGTGTC